CTAGCTTGATTAGCAATGCCCAGCACTTGCCTATACGCATCATCTTTGCGGACACACTGTTGCCAACTAACACCAGCAATCTTTGTAGACAATGATGATAGAAAACTTATAGTCACCTCAGATCCTCAGATAGGTGGGGTCAAGTCGCACTCCAGTAGAGTGGAACGGCCCTCATTGTGGCGTTGTAACCACGGTGTTTCAAACCGAGGAAAACTAATTTCTGTCGCCACAGAGGTCGCAGATTCAAGAAGGCAGATCTGGCTTTTCCAATACGTGAATTGGCTTCAATCGTTATGCGCCCATCGTTGCTAATGCAACTGTCAGGGTACGTGATTTGATCAACTAGAGTTTCTCGCTCTCTAGGGTCAATAGGTCGTCAAATGAAAAGTGTAGCATGATTCATCAAAAATGGCAAATAGGAGAGCAGATGCAACCCTTCATTTTAGTTTTCGAAAGCTTCTTGCTTATCGCTTCCTCAAATGAACGACGCTCCCTTCTATTTTATTTTAACTGGATGTGTTAGGGTCGCAATATTTTACAAAGAAAGCAGATTATGAGAACACATTTCCAAAAAGTACGTCAGTTCTTTCACGTTCTTGGGTGTTGGGGCTTCTGTGATGGCCCGGATGTTTTTGTTGCTTGGGCGTATGCCGCCACGCAATACGAATCTCGGGGTCACTGAAGACATTTGTTGCATTCAGACATAACTCAAGATCACTGAGACACAAAAGGATGTTAGGTAACCTCTTATCGTGTTCTTCTTGTGAGCGGCCGGAAAAACAGATGTCATTCATTTATCCAACCTGCTCCTCAATACCTGCCAAGGCGTGAGGCATGAACTTTTGCCAGGCAGCTGGCGCAGAACTCAAACTCACTGGCAACACTTTGTACTGAAATAAGCCATCCGGAGCAAGGAAGCCTGTAAGCTGCTTTGAATGCTTGACAAATGTCATATGAAAGAAGGCGTTTCAAATCCAGCCTAGGAACTATGGTTGTACCAGCACAATATACGGTGAGTTCCTCGTCGGATGACAGCATGAATCGCTCTACGACGATCTGCTTATTTAGTCCCTGTAAATTGTTGCATATCCTGACAGTGCCTACTTTTTTCAGGACACTTACCTTTGAATGCGCACACTCAGAGCAGTCGATGGGTTCAGTCAAATCGTTTGGTAACATCTTAGTGTCTGTCCGCACTGGAACGCACTGCCATCGCATGTGGTGAACGCACCAAACATCCAGACATTCGAAAGACTATTGGACTTGCACTTTTACATGATACACATTATATAACGGTATGACAAACTGCAGTGTCTAACTTACTGATATTTTTGTGTCACACCTGAAACTTTTGTTTTCTTCCATTTGCCATCCTGTGGGACTTGTAAAGTTATTGCTTTTTATCCCACCATACACTATTGAACTATTGAACTATCTGTTGCAGGCTCGCTGAGACAACGTGACGTTTTACTAGCAGAATAGGCCGAGGTTGACTAATGTCATCAGGTTTTGCACTCTGCTTCACTTGAATGCGTTTCACACATGGAATATGTCTGATGGACTGTTGAAAAGCCTTAGGATAACGTTGCTGCCAGTATGTCCCATTGACGGAAGAGACAAGCATGCGGTCGAAAGATGGTACTAGTTGCATAGCCATCATGACGTTTCTTTCAAGTAAAGGTCTTTTGTTGTCTGAATAAATCTATACTGCAACATACACAGCTATCGAATGCATCTGTAAATGCACGATAATGAATGCCAATATGGTTAAGGTATTTCCACTGTAACCCGAAAATGAATGCGAAGCGGGATGCAAAGTATGCTGGGATACGTAGCGTTCATAAACTTGGAATGATACAATGGTAACTGGAGAAGCAGAATCTAGCTTCATTACACATGGAACAGCGCCTTTGATGGTAAGGAATGACAGTACGAATATTAGCGGAGGGAAAATTTGGTTCAATAACGGAGATTGTTAGACATTTTGAAGTGTTGCATTTACGAGGTTGGAGTATATGTTCCCCTGAGATGGATCACCAAAATGGCCTTCAGGTGTAGCATGGTTGTTGATACGTCCGATGGCTTGTAAGACCGGCAACATCGGGTGTTGTGCCCAATTTCGCCACAGTTTTGAAAATAAGACTGCGTGCGCGATAAGTGGCGAAATTGGTTTTATGTGAACCACTTCCACAGGGATAGCAAGCTGCCTTGTTTGTTTGTAATTGTCGGAAAGATTGCACCTTTGCCAACACAACTGAGTTGGTCGAACAGAAGCGTTTTGAGCGCGGTGCAATTTCAGTTTTCATTCTGGCTAACCCGCAAGCTCGATCCCACGTTTATGTGCATGCCTCTTCCTGCAAGAGCGCTCCACGTAGACGGTTATCAGCGATCCCAGAAATTAGCTGCTGAGTCAGCTTACGGTGTTAGGTCTTTTTCTGGGGAATGGACAGATAATCACACGGTCGTACTGCGCGACTCAATCGGGCAATGAAATCGTTCAAGGGTTTGCCTGTTTTCTGCTGCATGAGGGAGAAAACGTTTCTCCCAGTAAACATATTCATTTGGTAAACCCATATACGATCGAGAGCACGGAAAGCTTCCTTAACGGATTTACATCCTCAAAGATCCAACGTACCAGATTGTCGCTGCACTTCATCGCCGAGTAAATGTCGATGCATCTCCAATTTAGTTTTCTCACTAAGGGTAGAATGGAAATCGCTGCTTAAATCCAAGAAATAGTAGAAGGAGCTTTTCCAATGGAGCCAGGCATCAGATATTGGACTGCTACCGTAATCAGGCCAAAATGGAGATGGAAGATGAATGGAAAGGTTCATCTTTGGGTTCGCGACACCAAATGTATCAAGGAGGCAACAGAAAAAATCTGGATCTTTATCCTTACTCGGTCAGAAGGCAACTGACTCAACACACAGAGTACCCAATTTTTACTGTTCGGATTGTATTCAGTCAATGAGAAGAGAGGTCCTATGTTTTAGCAAACCAGTGAAACATGATTAGGAACATGGTGCTGAATCGGCCTCCATTGCCGCATCAGCATCTCCAAATGCGTGCGACTAATTGCAAGAGAACAAGCTGGACGCAGTTAGTTTAACAACCCCGCGAGGTCATTGGTCCTGTTTTCGGACACACAACACACGTCAATACCCAGTGCATCCAAGGTGCGTGCGAGTGCAGCCCGTTGACCCATTCGTCTTAAAGTGATAAAGTTGAATGCCGCCAGGGAAACGGGACAGCGTGACCTTACAAGGGACTGCTGCCAATAGGTGTCCAGTGGGGATTGCGGGAAGGTGGCTGCAGTTGGTTCGAATCAAGTGGCACTGTGGCTGCTGTCAATTAAGGTGGGAAGGAAGGTTAGTAATGGGGGTCGGGATGGGAGAAGGAGAAGCAGGTGGAAAAGAAAGAAAGGAGGCGCCAGTAGTAGCATGTTTTCGCTTATCCGCCCTGCTGTATGCAGCAGATAGGTGACTGTTGATAATCTGCGCAAAGGCCGATGCAGGATGTAGTTATAGTTTGGTGAAAATGACATGGTTGTATGTGGGCTGAGATACTGCCAGGGCACTCAGACCTAGTAAGGAGGACTATTAGGGTTCTCAACCAAGGCCTTTGGCTCAGAAGCCTGTCCGCAAGCCAGCGGAGTGGTGACAACGATTTAGTTTTAGAGCAGTGGTCGGCACCCTATTTCAAAGCCCCAATCTGGAGGACTAGGAGACTGAGTTTGTCTGACTTTAACCGTTGACCAAGCTGGTAGGAGTAGCTCTCAATGAACTTGGGGGCACCACCCAGTATAGATCAGCGGGCCAAGAAGGTAAGCAAACTGTCGGTACCACGTTGAGGTCCAGTCTCCTTGTGACGAAGTAAAAATAGCACATATTATTCTATTCCCTGATATGTACGCTGTCCACGCGGTAGATATATCATCACACCATGAACAGGCCTGGGATAATAGAAACCTCCAGAACCACAAACTGGAATTTAAACTACCCAGATAAAGAGCACAACTTACAACTTTATATTGTACTGAGAAACCACCCTCCGCAGCTACCAATTTTGCATCGGGCCACGCTTAAGGATGCGGCTCGACTTCGTCAACCTCATTTTAGGCCGCTTAACAACAACTAAACTCTCCTGATTGCCTTAGTTCAGGGGTTATGCATTTAGTCGCATTTTGACTAATAGTTATATGTTCCCATATACTCCTACGTGTCTACCCACTAATCTCTCTTTTCCCGCAACACAATGGCATACATTCCGGCATATCCATATAACTGCACGTCAAAATTTGCCTTGCTGGTAAACGAAAAGCGTGCCTGTTAACTTCCGCTGTGGTAGGCACCTTTTGATGCGCTTATGTAGTAGGGCTGAATAGAATTTACAGATATGTACCTCAAGGTTATTGCAACGAAGCAAAAGAATAGGAAATGCCGGTCTAAACATGGGTTTCAGACTCAGCGTGTTCGTTCAAAATGAAATTGCAGTATCACCTATATCGGGCGTTTCGTTACCTACTTGACTCAATGTTACCATTAGTTCGCCTGCTTCTAATAAATCCGCCTACCTCATGGACGTTCGACGACGTAGATTCTTGTACCTGATTCGCTGCTTCATGGCGTCTGTCTTATGCTGCCGGTTGCAGCGCTTGGAAGCACCCGTTTAGTGTCTAGTACATTAGTTCAGTTTTGCGAACAAAACAAACTGGCAGACATAACAAATACATTTAAGGTTTAAAGCTTACTGTTCAGATAGAACGAAAGATAATTGAACATCCACCACAGAACATGTGCAGGATTGTATCTCTTAAGTGGAACTACGCAATAATCTAATCGTGTCTGAACAAAGTCCGCTTCATCTCTTTCCAGCACATTACGCATGCGCATGTTCTAAGCTTGAAGGCATGCACCATGTGGTTTGCGTCCTTATGGTAGTGTCTTGAACGTAACAGATATGTGCTTCCGTGACATCTCACTCTGTTCGGCAAAACTCACCTGCAGTATAGACAGACATCAGACTGGAATTAAGAAACGGTCCTTCTGACATATGGTACGTGTACTTGAGTTGCCATTTGTATGCAGGTGAGTTTGGGCCGGAAACGTCTGGGGATTCAGAAAGTAGATACAGGTCATCCGTTTTAGCCACAGCCCATGCACCTCTCTTTGATATTTGGAGTGGCATCTGTTTGCACTGTAAGGGCAGTGTGCACCTGAAAATAACAAATAACCAGCTTTGAAAAAGATATCGTATAAAAGAGGTTGGCAATCCGTAAGCAGTGTTAGGGAGATCAGTCATTTTGAGAACCCACAAGATGTTGAAACCTGGAACCTGGAACCATCCTAGGATGGATGGGATAAGAGTTCGCTTACAAGAACTGAGTATTAATCACTTAGTAACTAATGCGTAGTGGAGCTTCGGGGGCACTTTTAGATGTAATTCGTTGCAGTCCCCTTGCAGAGGTCCGAGGAACGCGCGCGACTCGTGAGATCCAGAACTTTCACCAAAGTAGTGAGATGACATTAATTGCGATATGTCAACAGCTTGATTGATTTCAAGTCGTGAACACAATACGAGCGGAACACATACACAGTTATATACATGAAAAAATTAGCAACCCCAAACAAAATGTTCTAATCTAGACCATGATAACCTAACTGCTTGGCTTAATAGTTTGTGTGCACACAATACAGGTTGAGAGACCCTAGTCAGCAACGCCTCACCAATCGCCAACATTATCGGATTGTTGTTGCGTAATAACACCCTGAACGCTTGTCTCTGGTTTCACATAACGTCGAGTTACGAAGGGGGTGCTTGGTGATGGATGATGCTGACCTCCGGTTCAACTTCGGATACGGTTTTTCACTATTTCCTATTGCTATTTTTGTCTTTAGTTGGCTCACCCCTAACCGATCATCCGTCGGGACATGTCAAGCTTCGGCCATTTTATCCGCAATATACCATTGACCATCGAACGTTTTCACGGAACAATTGAGGGATTATCAGCACAGTCCAATGGACACGTTGTCGGCATCTTCCACCAGAAAATTTACTCCGGATGAATGATCGTAGTCAAACATGGCCCAATCGTAAAAGCGAAGCAACAAATTAATGTTACTATAGTACTGAATAAAATTCAGTATCCATTCTTCTACTGATCAGTCGGGCTACTAGTTGTAAATTTTCTGAAATCAACTCGGTTGAAAATAAGTAGACGACAAATGTTTGACAGTGGCATTTCGGCAGGACCTGAGTTGAGCATACACAAACATATGTGCCCACAGGTTAAAACCTTTTACCTAACAGAATGACTGATCAGATCAGCCGAACTTGGTTTCACTGTTTCAGTTTGAGTTTTTCTTTTACTCTGATTTGCCTCTAAACTACGTCAGAGTTCGTGCAGGAACTATCGACAACTGCGGACCAGCCTGCCTCACACAAACTGGTTGAACCACCCTAATGGAAGCATCAAACCAACTGACGGTGATCCGGTTTATATTGTACGTTGGTCACCACCAGCTTAGTGTATAATTTATTGCCCTTTAGTACCGACTGTTTCCCAAATGGCAGTAGATTTGAAATACAGATAGATTGGGCACGACAGTTTCTTACTGAGAACTCTGTCGCTGACTAGACACAAACAAATTCTCGTAACTATTCTAGCGCAAGATATGTAAGCTGCGTCAGCACAGAAGTGTTGCAGTTTATATTCGGGGTAATTTAATGGTATTCGTATTAACTATGTTCGCTTTGAATAATTCAGTGGCTCATGATGCAGTAGAAGTTGTAGAGCGATGGACACACATGGAGAAATTGAAGCTACTTGCTTTCGTACTTCATATGTACACGAAGAATAAAATTGCGGGAGCCATGCGGGGAGAAATCAATTGAACATAGACAAAAAACGAGTCTCCCAACTGTGAACACTCACTTTACAATGACTGACAGAGTCTTTCCCGACCTAACATTGAGGATTAGGATAGCGCTTCCAAAACGAATGAAAGATTCAGCATCATATTTTTGGGCCAAAATGCGAATTTTGTACAGCGTGCTCGCCTCCAAGTTCCCGGTCCAAAAGCATAGTATTCCAGCCCCGTTTTTTATTCTACCAGGCCCATCACCAAAGCAACCAGTCCGGTTAATTGGGAAGGTGTGTCCTTTCGGCTTTGGTGAGATATACTTTTCTGTAAATTCCTCATTCTGTTTTCCACAGTACCAAGTCCAATTGGAAATACCCTGTGCATGACAAGAAAGAGCTGGTAAGGAAAAGCACACGCTACCACTAAGTATTAGTCTTAATGTACTGCGACATCTCACTCATTTAATAATGAACACATTTCCAGTCTTTACTGATGAGTGCTCTTTGAATTATACACTGGGAAAAGTACTGCTCTTTCTGTGCCTGTTAAGGCAAGAAGCGAACCCGTTATATCGGCACGCTTTCTTAAGGTGTGTCGGCACGCTTTTTTAAGGTGTGTCGGCACTGGAACAAAGTTCCCTAAACTTCTACGAACCCAGAACCATTGCACATAGTAACAGGTTTGTAGTCCCAAAGATACATCACTTAGTTTACAAAAAGTGCGTCGGGTTGTTCACTCAAACCAGTTGCATCAATGGCACTGACTAACTAAATCGGAAAAGTGATTTTCCAAGCACTGCTGGTGTAATGCCTAGAATCGCATTGTCGGTTATATGATAGGATAGGAATAGTTAGCCACCTACTTAGTTGAAGCACCATCGTTACCATTATACACGTTAGCTAGAGGTGGGAAGCACCTCAGCTACTGGGCCGCAATACGTAAAAGAAAGTAAGAAAATAAATGCAACAGTTGCATGCCAGATGAGCTACCAGCAACGGATGGTTCGTTCCAGAAGCTACCAGCCGGCTCCTAGGCGGCAAAATAAATTGTTATATAAAATAAAATTATACCACGAAATAAGAGTGTGGTGGGAGGGGGAGCCTAAAACGGATGGGGATAGACAAAAAACTCACAGCATCAACGCCATCGAGTTCGGCTGCTAACCATGTCAGCAGTGTATCCAGTCGAACGTGTTCATCGTCTTTTGGACCCCAACCAGGGAGTCGTGAAGCTCCAACCGAGGCCAGCTCCGAAGTGAGGGACTTCACTCCTCTCGAGCAAGTCATCGCTTGGCCACCTTCTTCTTCCACCCACACCCCTGGCAAGCAAACGACGCACGTCGCAGGAGTCGGTGGGCTGGCATGCGGAACATGTGGTCGAGCCATCGGAGCCTGGTGCGTGAAAGAAGGGTGCTGAGCGGGTCATTTCCATTTCCTGTGTCGTAAACAAGGCGTCGAACACGCTTGTTGCTCACTTGGTGTTCGCACCAGATGTGAGCTAAATTACGAAGGCACCGGTGGTCGAACGTAACTAGCCTCTTTATGTCCACTGATCTAAGGGACCAGGTTTCACAACCGTGCCGTAAGGTCGAGGGTACCGCTGCATCGTACACTCTAGCCTTCAGGGCAAGAGTGATGTTGTGCCAGCACCATAGGGAGCGAACCAAGCGATGACTTGGTCCAGAGGAATGAAGGCACTCACTTCGGAGCTGGCATCGGTTGGAGCGTCACGGCTCCCTGGTTGGGACCCAAAAGACGGTGAACACCTTTGGCTGGATACACTTGCTGACATGGCAAGGAGCCGACCTCAATGGCGTTCCTGCTGTGAGTTTCTTTGTCCCTCCCCATCTCTTTTAGCCTCCCCCTCCACCTACGATCTCATTTCATAGTGTAAAACATAGTAATTTTTCTTTTTGCGTAGTAGCCGGCTGGTAGCTTACCGGAACGATGCCTATCCGTTGCTGGTAGCTCAGCTGGCATGCAACTGTTGTGTTTATTTTCCTTTTCCTTTATGTATTGCGACACAGTAGCTGAGGTGTTTCCCACCTCTAGCTGACGTGTATAATGATGATGATAGGGAGCGAAGGCCAGCAAAAGCACCTCGAGCTTCTGCTATACGGTTCGTGATCTCATCTTCGACCCCAAAAGCGCTGATACAACTTCCCAGGTAGTTGAATTTCGGAACGATTTCTAGCTGATCCCCACCAGGGATCAGCGCAGGAGGCGATCCAGGAGGAACGCTTTGCACTTCGATGGTGCAAAGCAAAGCCCGAAGCGGCTGACAGACAGTGCTAATTTGTCCAGTGAAGCTTGGCACGTTTGTGAGCTGTCGCATACGAGGGCAATATCGTCAGCATAATCCAAGTCAAAAAGTTGTTCTCTTGGGAGTAGCTCCCCACCTTCTAAGTTGCGTCCTGTGAATGCAATCTCCATGACTTAGTCAATAGGGAAGTTAAAGAGGAAAGGTGACAGCGGGCATCCTTGTCTCACACCACTGGAGATAATGAAGGGTGCCGACAGCGTGCCGTAAGCCCTCACTCTGCCCTTGCTAAGCGCGTATAGTGCGCGGATAATATTTACACATTTCCGGGCACACATTTCCTGAGTAGACAGTCCCAAAGGGTACATTGATCAACCGAATCGAAGGCACCTTTGATGTTGGGGAACACGACAACGGTAGCCGCCAACATGTGTGGCGATGCTCCAACAACTGACGCAAAGTGTAGATGTGATGGATGCAGCCACCACCCCGACAAAACCCGGTTTGCTCCCCACGAATCTGGTTTTCACGAGCGCCTGACAATCTGTGAAGGATTACAGAGGCAAGTAATTGGGAGGCGCTGTGATCAGACTGATTCCTCTATGGTTTCCGCATTCCGAACGACAGCCTCCTTTAAAGATCAGGACAATAACGTAGCGGCTCCAGTCAGGTAGGACAATTTTCTGCTCCCACAGTTTCACTCGTAATTCGTGTAAATCATCAACAAGAGCAGGGCCCCGGGATTGGAGGAGCGCTGGATGAAGATCATCTAGTCCAGCGGCTTTGTTCAACTTCAACAGTCCGACCTTACATTCGACTTCCGAGCGAGAAGACGGATCCAAAGGGACAGCCCAAGCAGCAGGGCGATCACTGGCCGGTGAGGAATCTAAAAATTCCGACCGATTAAATGGTTTTTCCAAATGCTCAGCCCAACGCTGCAATCGTTTTGAAAAGTTTTGGTTAGGCTGTCCACTCTCGTCATAAATTGTTTCACTGACATCTGGTCTTCTGCTACCCGTTTCCCGTATCAGACGGAATAACTTTCGATTGTTACCAAGGGCAGCGGCCACTTCCACCACCACGAAGAGACTACCAGGATTCGCGGTCTCTCTTCTGGCTAGCACGAAGTTTTGCCCGGAGCTCTTTGCGAGTTTCATAGTGTTTGCTTCCAGCCGGAATATACCGGCGAGCATCAATAAGTTCCATCTACCGCGAAGAGTCCCTATGTCCATGTTGGCTATTAAACTTACCACATGAGGATTTGCCTGCTGCTAGTAAGGTCTGGTGAACATGCGACCAGTGACCTTTAATTATCTCCAGTGAGCGCTTACTCAATCCGCATGTCAGCGTAGTTCGATACGCATTCAGAACAGCTGGCTTCGCCACTTGATTGGTGTCAATGCGCTCACAGCGTCGTTGTGGGCGTCCGTCAGAACGCATCCGCATGTCAGCACATACAATTACATGGTCGGTGTTCACACATGTGCTCCAAATCGAGCGACAGTTCTGGACGCAGCCTCTCCAGCGGTAACTGATTGCGGTGTGATCGATTTGCGTCCAAGGCTTGTGGGCGCCAAGTCACCCTCCGGCGGGTGCTTATCGGATGCAATGATGCTTGAATGTTCAACAGTTACCAGGGAATGCTATGTTCTTGATGCATGATCAGCTTGCTTTTAATAGGTAATTATTCTGCCGTTTTGGTTTTTCGCATGTGTAATCTTTGTTGTTGCGATTCGCTCCCTAACTAACACATGGGAACTGAGCAGAAAATGTCATTTTACTCGTCATAAACTGTTTTTATATCATTTCATATGTCACGCTTCTCTTAAAGTGTACTTGCATCAACGTAGATGTTCGAAGCCCAGTCCACCACACCACTGGACCTAACGGAGCGTCTGAAGAATAGTCCAGCAAACTAAGTGATTCAAGTGCGTCAGGGTGTTTGAGTAGACAGGCTCGCAGCCTTCCGCACCCGTTACATCTGGATGATGTTGACACTTGGAAATATTGTGAGCGCCGCTAATTCTGTACATAATTTTAGCGCCCTGGTTTATTCTCCCAATCTTTTTACACAGCCTGCAGCATTGTTTAAGAGTAGATAGCTGGTCTTCTTCCGCCCGACTAGAGTGTTACGGACGGAGCCAACTTGCTCTAGAATAGTTGCATCTCAGTGCCAATGTGTAACACCGTGCCATTTGGTATCTTTCACTGTAGAGCCCAATAGTGTAGAGCTGGGTTGATTGGCATTCGTGTGAGCCCGTAAAGTACGGGTTTGCATACTGTCAAGGTGCACTTCTATACACTTTGTGCAAGTAAATTTTCAAGGCTAAACCTGTGACCTGACTGAGTTAGCTACGTTCCTGTGATTCGTACCCTAGATGTACCAGGTTGCTAAAGGAAAACGAGTACCATTTCGGCTATGGCAAGTAAGATTAGACTGTTTCAAAAAATATCCAAGTAGTATATCCTAACCATGTGTTATTCATCCGCGCCAGTGCTGCTACTTAAGAGCCGCCATTCTGAGAAGGCGGTGAAGTGATATGGTACCAGTTTTCTGATGAAAATTGGCAGAATGCAGTGAACTGGTAGTGTATTAATCAATGTCTATACGGTAATCAGTATTCTCCTCGCATAAGCCTTAGCGAAGAGGGTGTTTGTCGGTTCTGTGCACGAGTTTTATCTTATGACTCGCTTAGGTCAGTCACAGATATACAACGGGTACAGGGAATTTCTACCTCTGTGACATGCACGAAGTCGAGTTACCCGGACGAAACAAACCGCACCTACTTATATTGCAAATTTAGCAACTGAATTGTGTGGAGATTTGCGAACCACTCTCACTATTTCAGCTTTTACTGATGTAGCTCATATCACTCTGAAACCTATTTTGCTAAATGTATTTATTCTATGTGCTCCCTTTTGTACCAGCATGCGGATAACGTTCAAAAAATGAGAGCTAAAGACACGAGTACATTACGTTCGGAGAAAAAAGTTCATTTTGCCAAACCGTGGCTAGCACCATGATCACTGGGCCATTGAGCCCCACGAGCAGAGCGGGTACGCTCCCAGTGGTCGGAATCGCACAGACGAACTTCAAAGTCAACCGTGGCTAGACTT